TTATAAAACATTAAAGAAAGAAATAGGAGAAGATATAAAAAATGAAAAATATAACATTTTCATGGATTGGAAGAATCAATATCATAAACATATCCATGCTCCAAAAGAAATTTACAAATTAAAGTGATACCAATCAAAATACCAATTATATTCTTTTCAGATATAGAAAAAATGATGCTGAAATTCATATGGAAATACAGGAGACCCTGATTAGCTAAAGCAGTCTTATACAACAAAAACAAAACTGGATGCATCACAATACCAGATTTCAAGACATACTACAGGGTGGTTACAATCAAATCAGCCTGGTACTGATACAAATACAGATGGATATACCAATGGAACAGAATAGCAACAAAAGAAAGCAATTCAAGCATTTTTACCCAGTTTATCTTTGACAAAGGAGCTAAAACCATCCCCAAGGGCAAGGACAGTTCTTCAACAAATGGTGCTGGGAAAACTGGATTTCTACATGCAGAAGCATGAATCAAGACCCCTACCTTACAGCATACACAAAAATACACTGAAAATTGGATTTAAGACATAAATCTATGACCCAATAGCATCAAATTATTAGAGAACATTGGGGAAGACATTGGCACAGCAAAGAATTCTAGGAAAAGACTCCAGAGGCACAAGCAGTCAAAGCCAAAATTAACAGATGAAATTACATCAAATTGAGAAGCTTCAGTACTGCAAAAGAAACACTCAGGAAAGTGAAGAGGCAACCAACAAAATGGAAGAAATTATTTGCAAACTATTCCACTGATAAAGGATTAATAACCAAAATAAATAAAGAGAACAAGAAACTCAACAACAGCAAAACAAACAACCCAATTGTTTGCCCTGCTATTTTTCCTTAAATATTCCTATTGTTTGCTTTGGATTTCCTTTGTACCTTTACTGGGAGATTTTCTGCCTTCACCTTCTTTCATAATGATGACTATCTTTCTGTATTTCTGTGCACATCCTTAAGCATCATTGGTAAGCCTGGATAAGTGGAGACAGTTCCTTTCATTTTTTGTTTATTATGGAAGGTCTTTATTTTACTTTGATTCATAATTGAGAACATTGTATGGTACAGTATTTGTGGCTGATAGTTTCTTTTTATTTAGACTTGGACTATGTCTCTCCATTGTCTCCTAGCCTTTAGGATTTCTGATAGTCTATTTAGGGATTTTCTGAAACTAATCTGGTATTTCCCTTGTGCACATTTTAGACTCTTTTCTTTATGCTTACTGTTTAAGGTTTGACTACAGTGTGTCGTGAAGATCTTTTCTGGTCATGCCTGTTAAGAGTTCTGTGTGCATTGTGTGCTTGGATTTCCCTTTCTTCAAATTAGGGTGCTTTCTGTAATTATTTCACTGAGTAGGCCTTTTTTTTATTTTATACTCTTATATTCTAGTTGAATTACTTATTATTATTATTATTATTATTATTATTTTTAACAGAGTTAGAGAGAGAGACAGAGAGGAAGGTCTTCCTTCCATTGGTTCACCCCCCAAATGACTGTTACGGCCGGCGCGCTGCCATGAGCCAGGTGTTTCCTCCTGGTCTCCCATGCGGGTGCAGGGCCAAAGCACTTGTGCCATCCTCCACTGCCTTCCTGGGCCACAGCAAAGAGCTGGACTGGAAGAGGAACAACCAGGACAGAATCCAACACCCCAACTGGGACTAGAACCCAGGGTACCGGCGCCGCAGGTGGAGGATTAGCCTAGTGAGCCATAGCACCGGCCTTGAGTAGGCCTTCTAATCTATTCTCTGTTCCCACACCTTCAGGAACTCCCAAAACCCATATGTTGGTTCATTTGATAGTATCCCATAAATCTCCAACACTGTTTTAATTTTTTAAATCCTTCTTTTTGTATTTGTCTTTAAGCTTGGATATTCTTTCTTCTGCCTCCCCAAGTCTGTTGTTAAAGATTCCTGTGGTTTTTTTTTTTTTATTTGAGATATTTAATTCTTCTTTTCTAATATTTCATTTTGATTTACTTCAAAATGTCAATCTAATGGGAAAGTTTTTTTTCCATGTCATGTATGGATTTCTTTAACTCCTGAACTTGCTTCTCTTTGCTTCTGAGTAATCTTATGATTAATTTTTTAAATTCATTTTCAGGTATTTCATTAATGTATTCGTCTTTACATTCTAATATTGACGTTTTGTTGTGTTCCTTTGTGGGAGTCATGTTGCCTTTCTTATTGTTTCTTGAGTTTCTCCATTTATTTTTGGCCATTTGTGGAATTATTGTTGGTTTTCACCTCTGATAGATTTTATCTTTGAACTATACCTCTGTGACTTAGTGGAGTTTCTGTTCTTAAAGATTTTTATTTATTTATTTGACAGGCAGAGTTACAGACAGTGAGAGAGAGAGACAGAGATAACGGTCTTCCTTCTGTGGGTTCACTCTCCAGATGGCCGCAATGGCTGGAGCTGCACTGATCCAGAGCCAGGTGCTTCTTCCTGGTCTCCCATGAGGGTGCAGGGGTCCAAGGACTTGGGCCATATTCTACTGCTATCCCAGGCCATAGCAGAGAGCTGGACTGGAAAAGGAGCAAGATGGACTAGAACCGGCGCCCATATGGAATACCAGTGCCACAGGCAGAGGATTAACCTAGTGTGCCACAGCGCCAGCCCCGAAGTTTCTGTTCTTTCACTGAATACCCAGAGGCATGTTCTGGGTGTAGTCAGGGAGTTTTGGTCAGTGCTCCAGGCTGTGGCAAGTATCCAGGGTGATCCAGTTGGGCATGTTAGATCTTCTCTTGTCAGCAGGAAGGAAGATATGGTCACATATCATTCCTTCTAAGGTGATTAATACCAAGTTTAGCCCACAGAGGGTACAACACTCATCTGCTCTGGCACATGAACTGACATAGGATCTGTGCAATCCTTGTATCACCATGGCTCCTGCTCCAGTGATCCAACTCAGGCAGTCAGAAAGCTCACAGTGATTGCCCAGAGACCCAGCTACACCCTGTACACTGTTGTGCAGTTATGGCATTCCTGCAGTCTCAGCACACAAAGCCCCCACAGTCACGAGGTGCAGAGGACCTGCTCTGCCTTGCTAGCCTATACCTTCCACTGAGAGGCACAAATGTTCCCAGAGCCAGCTGCCTCTGGGTACCCCTCCTAGGCAGTTTGAGCTCCGGTGCCAGTGATACATTGAGAGGCTGGGGGCACCTCACGTTGTCCATGGGTGTGCAGCCCCCTGTCATTCCTCCTAGGAGGACTCAAATTCAGGCAGATTTTTCCGTCTGGTAAAATCCCTGGTTCACAACTGATCAGAATAAATGACACAGCCGCTACTCCTTTCAAAATGGTGGCTTCACCCTGCCAGTCGCTGTGCATGCATGACAGCCACTGCAGCCACTACTGATTTTAGAATGGCAGCTTCTCCCCAGCCGAGCTACCCCAGCCACTGCTTGTGTCATGATAGTGCCCTCTCTCAGCCAGTTGCCAGGTGCCTTTGTGGGGGGATAAGAGAGAAACATGCTCTTTTTTCGCTTGGTTAGAGGGGTACATTGTCCCCCTATGGCTCCAGACCTGGCTCATGGCATGCTCTCCCTCTGACTATATTGCATTTGGCAGGACCTGCTGCAGTCTGTTCTCACCATGCTCTCCAACCTGGCACTTCTTTCATCTCTTGGCTTTGGGCGTCATGTGTTGTGTCCATGCTCATTGCTTGGAATCCACACCTTCCATGCTGACCCATGGTGTCCCTCTTCCTTCTGTAGAGTTTCCACTATAGATTTATCTATGACTCTCCCCTGAGAATGTCCTTCCTCCACTTTTTTTGCTACTGTTTTCTCACCTAGCCTAAAATAGTACATCATTTCTCAACTCTCATTTTTAGACTTTTCAAGTTTCAGTATATGGATGTTCTTTTATTATCATTGTAATTGGGAATTTCTACCTCAAGAAGTGGTAATAATACTTAAAAGGTGCTTATCAATTTATAAAATAGCATTTCTCTTTTTAAATGTAATTTAATTTTGTTTGAAAGGCAGAGAGAGTTCTTCCATCTGTTGGTTGACTCCCAAAAGGCTCACATTAGCTAGGATTGGGCTTGGCAGAAGCTAGGAGGATGCAACTCAGTCCTAGTCTCCCATGTGAAGGCAGGGACATGAATACTTAAGCTGTCACCTGCTGCCTCTCAGGGTGCTCATTAGCAGGGAGCTGCATTCAGAAGCAGTGCAAGACTCAGTGCAAGCTTCTCATGTGGTATCTTCACCACTGTCCAAATGCATATCAAACAAAATGCTGTTTCTGTGTGTGTTCTTCTTTGAAAATAACTCACCTTTAGTCTGATCTGTAGGATTTTAGCTCTTGAGATTATTTATATTTATCAGTTAAATTCATAAGGCATTTTTTAACTGAATAGGATCTTTTTTTGTACTATAGCTATACAGTTAGTTTTTTTGTTTGTTTTTGTACAAGTTACAAATGATACTTGGACAAGTTACAAATAATACTTTATTCTTTTTATCTGGGTAGTCTATCTTTAATTCTGTCATTCAGTATATTAACAATTCCTCACAGATTTGTGTTATCTGTAGAAATAATGTTTGATGGAATCATAATAACCAATTAAGTAATTGAAAATTATGGGACTTATCTATTTAAAAAAAAACGGGTGGGCAATAATTCTTCATGTCATGGCTTATGTCATAGATTTTGAATAGTTTTACATGTGGTTTCCAATATTGGGCAAAATTTCTTATAACATTGAAATTTTCTAATTATATGCAATTTTTGGCAATATACTGCTTTTAATTTTAAAATATTACCTCTTATGGATTGATTTTTAGAAATATGAGTTTACATAACATTTTTACACTAGTTTCAACATTGTCACCTTAATAATTCTTAATCATCTAAATGCTTTATTTAATCAACTATTAATTCACACTGTGATAGAATATACATGTTTTCTAGACTTGATTTTAAGTATGGATTGCAAACAAAATGCTATTTATGTATTCTCCCTAACTTCCCATTGTAGGATCAACTGACCAATTTTCAACAGCTCACCAAACAACTTCATGTTACTAAGGAGAACATAGAAACGGTAAGTGCAAATAACATTTAGTTTATCTGTTTATATAAACTAGAAGTTGTCACTGTAGTCTTATTTGTTTATATTAACGTAAACCAAAAACCACAACAGAAAATCTGCAAAATTAAAATGAGTAAGTGCTACTCCTTTATATATATTTTTCACATTCAGCTCTATGTTGTAGTAGACAGTATTTTTTGGACATCTAATATTTTTATTTTTTTGTATTTAAGGTATAGAAATATCATATATACATATTTAGGGATATAGTGATTATTCTCACCATACCTTCCCTCCTGCCCACACTCCCTCTCTTCTTCCTCATCTCCTATTCTCACTCTTAATTTTTAAAAATTTATTTTCAACTAACTTTATACTCATAAGTTTAAAAGTACACTAAGTAAAGAGTTCAATAAATAGTATGAGGGGAAAAAACACTTCCTCAACAGTAGACAAGGGCTGTAAACAATCATTCAATCTCAAAATGTCAATTTTACTCCTATACATTGCATTTTAGATAGTCTATTAGTTAAAAACAGATCAGAGAAAACATATCATATTTGTCTTTTTGGATCTGGTTAATTTCACTAAATTTAATGGTTTCTAGTTGCATCCATTTTGTTGCAAAGACAGGATTTCATTTTTTTTTAATGCTGAGTAGTATTCCATAGTGTATGTATGCCATAATTTCTTTAGCCATTCATCAGCTGATGGACATTGGGTTGATTTGATATCTTAGCTATATATTAGCAGTGAAAATGGGAGTACAGATAACTCTTTCACATACTGATTTAATTTCCCTTACGTGAATTCCCAGGAGTGGGATGGCTGGGTCATATGGTAGATGTATTTTCAGCTTTCTGAAGTATCTCCATACTGTCTTCCACAGTGGCTGCACCAGTTTACATTTCTATCAACAGTGGACTAGGGTACCTTTTTCGCCACATCTTCACAAGCATTTACTGTTTGTTGATTTCTGTATAAGAGCTATTCTAACTGGGGCAAGGTGAAACTTCATTGTGGTTTTGATTTGTATTTCCCTGATGACTAGCGATATTGAGCCTTTTTTTTAATGTGTCTGTTGGCCTTCTGAATTTTCTCTTTTGAAAAATGTCTGTTTAAGTCCTTTGCCCATTTCTTAACTGGATTGTTTTATTATGGTTGAGTTTCTTGAGCTCTTTATAGATTCTGGATATTCAACCTTTATCAGTTTCATAGTTTACAAATATTTTATCCCATTCTGTCGGTTGCCTCTTTGTTGAGTGTTTCTTTAGCAATGAAAAGCTTCTCAGCTTGATGTAATCAATTGTCAGTTTTGTCAATACCTGTGCTTCTGGGGTCTTTTCCAAGAAATCTTTGCCTATGCCAATGTCTTGCAGAGTTTCCCCAATGTTCTCTAGTAATTTGATGGTATTGGGTCTTAGATTTAGGTGTTTGATCCATTTTGAGTGGATTTTTATAGGGCAGGGGTGTTGCTTTATACTTCTGCATGTGGAGATCAAATTTTCTCAGCACCATTTTTTGAAGATATGTCCTTGCTCAAAGGATTGAGTTTTAGCTCCTTTTTCAAAGATAAGTTGGTTGTAGTTGTGTGGATTGATTTCTGGAGTTTCTATTCTGTTACATTGGTTTACTCATCTGTGTTTGTGCCAGTATCAGGTTGCTTTGATTATAACTGTCCTGTAGTTTGTCTTGAAATCTGGTGTTATGATGCCTCTGCTTTGTTTTTGTTGTATAAGATTTCTTTAGCTATTCAGGGTCTCTGAAGTTTCCATATGAAATTAGCATCATATTTTTTTCTAGATCTGAGAAGAATTTCATTGATATTTTGATTCAGTTGCATTGAATCCTGAAATTGTTTTTGGAACTATGGACATTTTGATCGTATTGATTCTTCCAATCCATAAAATGGAATATTTTTTTCTATTTTTTGTGTCTTCTGTTACTTTAATGTTTTATAATGTCCTCCTTGATTAAATTTATTCCAAGGTATTTAATTTATCTGTAGCTATTGTGAACAGGATTGATCTTAGAAGTTCTGGAAGTTCTTTCTTGGCCATGGCATTGTCTGTGTGTGCAAAGGCTGTTGATTTTTGTGTTAACTTCATATCCTGCCACTTTTCCATATTCTTTTATGAATTCCAATGGTATTTTAGTGGAGTCTTTTGGTTTCCCTATATATAGCATCATGTTATCTGCAAATAAGGAATAGTTTGGCTTCCTCCTTTCCAATTTGTATAATTTTTTTTTCCTAATGGCTCTAGCTAAATTGGTGCAAGACTATATATTGAAGTAATAGAGAGTGGACATGCCTGCATGGTTCCAGATCTTGGTGGGAATGCTTTCCATTTTTCCCTATTTAATAAGATGCTGTCTGAATTTTTTGTCAGAAATTGCCTTGATTGTGTTGAGGAATGTTCCTTCTATACCCAATTTGCTTAAAGGTTTCATCATGAAAGGATGTTATATTTTATGAAATTCTTTCTCTGCATCCATTGAAATGATCATGTGGGTTTTTTGAAATTGTATTTAAATTATACAGGTTTCATGTATTTCATATATACAGATTTAAGAAAATAGTGATCCTTACCCCCCACCCTCCCTCTGCTCATGCTCCAACCCTCTTCCTCCTCCCTCTCACATTCCCATGCATAATTTTTACAAAAATCTGTTTTCAGTTTACTTAATGATCATATAGTTAACCCTTCACTAAATAAGAGTTCAACAAATTGTATGAAGAAAGAATAAAACCCTGTTCTTCAACAGAAGACAAGAGAGGTAAAAAAAAATCAAGTTTCAAAATGTCTGTTTCACTCCAATACATTACATTTTAGGTGCCCTATTTATTACCTCAGATCAAGGAAAACATATTTTTCAGTTTCTTAATGTGAGGTATCACATTTCTTGATTTGTGGATGTTGAACCATCCCTGAATACCTGGGATAAATCCCACTTGGTCTGGGTGAATGATCTTTCAGATATGTTGTAGGATTCAATTAGCTCATATTTTGTTGGGATTTTTGCATCTATGTTCATCAGGGATATTAGTTCTCTTTCCTTGTTGTTTCTTATTCTGATTTAGGAATTAAGGTGATGCTCTTATCATAGAAAGAAGTTGGGAGGATTTCCTCCCTGTCAATCAATTTGGATCTTTTTTTTTTTATTAGTTGGGCCAATGGTATATCAATTTTGTTTATTTTTTCAAAAGACAACTGTTCATTTCACTGATATTTTTGCATTTTTGTTTCAATTTTATTTATTTATTCTCAAATTTTAATTAGTTCTTTCCTCCTACTAATTTTGAGTTTGTTGTTTTCCTAGATCCTTGAGATACATTGACAGCTCATTTATTTGGTGCCTGGCCAATTTCTTGATGTAGGCACCTATTGCTATAAAATTCCCTCTTAACACTGCTTTTGCTGTATCCCATAAGTTTTGATATGTTGTATTGGCATCTTCATTTATTTCCAGAAATTTTTTTATTTCATCTGTGACCCACTGTTCTTTCAGGAGCATGTTCTCCATGTGTTTGTATATATTCTAGACATTCTTGGATTGTTAATTTTCAGCTTCTTTCCATTGTGGTCAGAAAAGATGCATGATAATGATTTTGATTTTTTTGAATTTGCTGAGACTTGCTTTATGGCCTAGCATATGGTCTATCCTAGAGAAGGTTACATGCACTGATGTAAAGAATGTGTATTCTTCATCTGTGGGATGAAAAGTTCTGAAGATATTAGTTAGGTCCATTTCGTCCATAATGTTGATTAGTTCTGTATTTTTGTCGCTTTTATGTTTAGTTGATCTGTCCATTGGTGAAAGTGGGTTGTTGAAGTCCTCTATTACTATTGTATTGGAGTCTTTGTCTCCCCTTAAATCCATTAACATTTGTTTTAAATAGCCAGGCACCCTGGCTTTGGGTGCATATACATTTATTATAGTCACATCATTCTTTTGAATTGATCTCTTTATCATTATATAATGCACTTCTTTGTCACTTTTAACAGTTTTTGTCTTGATGTCTTTTTTTTTGATATTAGGATGGCTACAACTATTTTTTTGCTTTCTGTTAGCTTGCAGTATCTTTTTCCTTGCTTTTACTTTCAGCCTGCAGGTATCTTTGTTGGAGAAGTGTATTTCTTGTAGCCAGCAGATGAATGGGCTTTATTTTTTGATCCATTCAGCCAGTCTATTTTTTAACTGGAGAGGTGAGGCTATTTACATTCAAGTTTATGATTTATAAATAATGACTTCCCCCCTGCTATTTTTCCATAATGTCCCTATTGTTCACCTTGGATTTTCATTGTACTTTTACTATTAGATTTTCTGCCTTTGCATTCTTTCATAATGATGACTTTTTTCTGTGTTTCTATATCACATCCTTAAGTATCATTTGTGTTTTTTCCTTTTTTTTATTTAATGAGCATAAATTTCCAAAGTACAGCTTATGATTTACAATAGCTTCCTCCCCCCTGTAACTTCCCTCCCACCCACAACGCTCCCCTCTACCACTCCCTCTCCCCTTCCCCTTCACATCACGATTAATTTTCAATTATCTTTATATACAGAAGATCAATTTAGCATATGTTAAGTAAAGATTTCCACATTTTGCTCCCACACAGAAACACAAAGTGTAAAATACTATTTGAGTACTAGTTATAGCATTAATTAAACACCTAAGAGTAATTGTGTATTAATTACAGAGTTCAACCAATAGTTTTAAGTAGAATATAAAATGCATCTTTTGTGTTGTTGTGGCTTCCCCCACCAACCTCCCTCCCTCCCATGGCCCTCCCCTCACCCACTCCCTCTCCCATCCCGCCCTTCATCACATTTCATTTTCAATTACCTTCATTCATTTGTAAGGCTAGATAAGTGGAGACAAATTCTTTCAATTTCTACTTGTCAGGGAAGATCTTTATTTCACCTTCATTCATAAATGAGAGCTTTGCGGGGTGCAGTATTCTAGCTTGGCAGGTTTTTTTCTCTTAAGGCTTGGACTGTGTATCGCC